TTCTTTAATCTTCAGCCCTGCTGCGGGCAAGCAGCAGGGCTCACCTGTCAGGTGGAAGCATTCGGGCAACAGCGCTGCCACCGATTGCTTTAACACAGTGCCAGCCTCTCCCCCCCCCCCCCCCGGCCCCGTTTGAACCTCTCCTGCCCACTGTCTCCCGGGTACCGCTTGCCCATCTACGAGCCCGGGACCGGCTCACCGCTGTCAGCTAGAGGGAAGGGAGGAGAGCGGACATGTCCTGTCTCTTCCTCTTCTTGTCCTGCCCTGGAAGTGACATTATGATGTCACTTTTGGTTTCCCATTTAGTGATTCCCAGCGATGGAGGCCGGGAAAGTATGTAATGTCGTGTGATGTGCACTGCATTACATTCAGGGGAGGCATCCGGGGTCTTTCAGACCCTGAATGTCTCAATAAAGAGAACTGCCACGAAAAATCAACACTTAGGGGACTTTGTCCCCTATGTGATGAAAAAAAAAAGTTAGGTAAAAAAAAAAAAACAAGGGTTTTTTTTATTGTAAAGAATGAAAGCTACACCCAAGCACATAACATTCCCCCCCCCCAAAATTGAGGCACCCCCACATATATGCACGTACAAACGTAAAAGCACATGCTGGGGCACCTACATCAATTGCGATACACATGTTACATATCATCGCACACGCCAGAATGAGAGCAATAATTCTAGCACCAGACCTCCTTCGTATCGCTAAACTGATGATCTATAAGGGCCTTTAGAAGCATTGCCTATAGAAAATATAGGATACTGAAGTTCGTCACCCTTTCATGAGTGCACACAAATTTAAGGTTTGACAAGTTAGATATCTATTTACTCGGTGCAACCTCATCTTTTATATTTTACAAAAAAATAGGGTAATTTATTGCTTTTTTGTGCCCTAAAATTAACTTACATGTATTTTTTACTGAAATTTTGCGGTAATATCATGCGACATAAAAAATTGGAACTACCACTATTTTATTCTCTAGGGTCTCTGCTTTCAGAAAATACATAATGTTTGGGGTTTTGTGTAATCTTCAGTCCTAAAATAATTTTTAAACATGTGCAAAAAACGCAAAACCCGGCTCTGGTAACGAAAGGGATAAAGGATAAGCTTGACACTCCCCTTTCCTGAGGAGCAGCCAATCAGTGCTTTTTGCACTGCAAGGTCTCTCCCCTCCCTGCTAGTCCCCAGGGGCGGAGCAGTAGACAGGCAGGGAGGGGAGGAGGAGATTAACATTGCAATGTTAAAATATTACATGTTTAAGTCACCATAAACCCCTTTTTGTTTTTAAAATCCATATACATTCCTAATATCACCTCTAATTTAAATACAGTTTTGGTTAAAAAAAAAAAAATTATCTGGACAAGTAGATTGTCATGGGGGACAAATAGATTGGAACCCCAATTTAGTCCCTGGACAAGTTGCTTTTTCAAAAATGTCCACACTCCTGAAGGGGAATCATCAAACTGATATGTCAGATATGGTGGACTCCAGATGTGGGCCTCCTATCCTCCAGATTCAACAAGTTACCTCTATTTATGGCTAGGACCAAGGATCCTCTAGTGCTGGCCCTGATAATTTCCTGGGCTCAGCTCAGGCTAATCTATGCTTCTCCCCAGTGCGAATTCCGCCTCTTCTTAAAATGGTAGAGAAAGAGAGGAAGACTGCTGTGATCTCATTACACCAAACTGGTCCAGAAGAACCTGGTACACAGACAAACTCAGACTTCTAGCAAACGACCTTGGGTCCCTCCCCAACATGCCAGATCTGCAGTGTCAGTGCTCTCCTTTCCATCCTGCTTCTCAGTTTCAGGCTTTAATGGCACGACTAAGTATTTGAATTGTTTACTTGTAACTTTTCTCTTTCCATAAACAGTTTTTTTTTTTCACTTGCAACGCATGCTAGAACATTTGACTGCTACAGAGGAGTCAATTACCTAGCACAGTCTCCTCCCTCTTTGCACTCCTGATCCTCTTCTGGGAGTGTTTAATTACTGTTTGTGCTGGCCCAGCTACTTTTTCCTTCCCTTTACTGTGCCTCTCTGCATAAACTTTTATGTAGCTGCCAGAGAAGGAGTGGAGGGGAATACTATAGGGTGTCACTTGAGTGAAAGATCTGAGTCTGCTGGGGATGCTGACTTCACATCCAAGATGGTGGCTACCAGCAACAGTTTTGGGACTCAAGAGAGACTTGTATATGTAAGTAACATGCATAAAATAAATGATATGCACATATCATCTTATGGCAAGATTTTTGTTAAAATGTATGATACGGATTTACTGAAAACTTGAGAGTGCAAAGAGAGAGAAAGAGAAAGCTGCTGCCCTTGCTAGTCAGGGCTTTGATAGAAAAGGTAAGCATGGTCATAAAGGGGTTCATTTACTAAAACTGGAGAGTGCAAAATCTGGTGCAGCTGTGCATGGTAGCCAATCATCTTCTACCTTCAGCTTGTTCAATTAAGATTTGACAATAAAACCTGGAAGCGGATTGGTTTCTATGCAGAGCTGCATCAAATTTTGCACTTTCCAGGTTTAGTAAATCAACCCCACTGTCTTTTTAACACTGTATGTCCGCTTGAATTTTATTCTATTAAATTGGAAAGCTTAATTTCTTTGCACATACACTAACACTCACATTCACTCATTTGTGTAAAAAGACTTCCAGCTTCAGGACAGAGAATTAAAATTCATAGTTACAGCTAAAGCAGTCACTGTTCTGCCCGGCAGTGAACTGGTTAAACACAATATTCTGCACGGTGCACACGCACCAAGCTGCTCTGCAGCCACGTTTGATGGTAACATGTAATCTCCCCCCACTCATTATCTCCTCACTGCCATATTACGCTTTCACCAAATCAACGTGCTATGACCGTCAATTTGAAAGTAAAATATACAGTCTGTTCTGAATATATACACACACATGCACCCATAGAGCACACAGTGATCTGCTGCAGACAGGCCTGTAATTACTCCTCCATGCTAGGGGGTCACAATAGGTCTGTCTCTCCAGCTGCTCCATTGCAGCTCCCAGCATGCCTTGCCAGACATCCGTTCCCTCCTAGCCCAGCGACCTGGAACTGTTATATGTAAAGCTGAAGTGCAAGCAAATATAAAAAAACACAAATACTGCAGCTCTGTATTCACTGATACATATTTAAAATGCATTTTTTAATAATAATCCATCTCAGTGTCTTAATATGACTTAATATTAGACTCCTGCAGTCTCTGACCAGCAGAGCTCAGTCTGGGAGAAGGAGAAGCAGCAGGCGGAGCCAATTAGCTGTGCTGTTGAGCAGTGTTTCTCAACCTTTTTTCAGTCAAGGCACCCTTTAAAATTATGGACAGTCTTGAGGCACCCCATTCTAGAATGTGAAAAACTATTCTAATAGTTTTATATAATGCAGCAAACATCCACACACATGTAGGACACCCAACATTAGAGGTGATTTATTCTTCCAAACCATACACACTTTTGCACACTGGTACTGACTAGTACACCAGTGTTTCTCTTCTCCCTCACTGAGCTATGTGACCCCAGTACTGATGGAGAGGGGCAGGGGAGGGTCAAACTAGGATGCTGTGCAGGCAGCTGACATCCTCCTTATCAACTGATGAAGGTCGTAATGGTGCACAATGAAAAACTGTGACTTTGTGCAACTATAAGTCAGGCTTGTTCCACCCACTGGCTTGTATATAAGTTTTGGGCAATTTTTAGACATTTTGCCAAGGCACCCCTGAAGAAACCTCAAGGCACCCCAGGGGGCCTGGGCACCCTGCTTGAGAAAGGCTGCTGTAGAGCAAGAAGCAAGCTAATAGAAGAATGAAGCAGAGTAACAGATGAGCTCAGCAATGTGCTGCTTCGCCTCTCACTATCCAGTCACTGGTTGGGGAAGGGACAAGACCGATAAGAGTTAAAGTGGTTCTAAAGCCTAAACATTTTTTACCTCAATGCATAATGTGTAGGCATTGGTATTAGCGCCCCATATACTTACCTGAGCACTCAGTTGATCCAGTGATGCCCCCGTCTGCAGCTCTCACAGGCTTTGCTAAGGCATTGGCTCCCACTGCTGTCAGTCAAAGCTAGTGACAAAAGAGCAGGGGCGAGTCCTGCTGTCTGTGTCAATGGACGCAGCAGCAAGGATTGGGAGCGAGCCTGCACGAGTGCCCCAATGGGAAGAGGCTTACTATTGGTTGCACTAGCCAGAGAGAAAGAGCCAGGAGCGACAGCGGGGGGACCCGAGAAGAGCTGGTATGTATATACATGTTTGTTATTTAAAAAAAAATCCTTTACAACCACTTTAATTAACTGAAGCAGAATAAAATCAGGTATCCCACCCGTTCTGTGTGCCAGAGCTGTGGAAATCTCAGGATAGCTCTCTTATATGATTTCATCTGTGTATTTAGCAGTTTGCCTGGTGTTCAGATTTAGAGAAGGACTCTGGTTCCATTTATTTAATCTGAATTCTATATACTGTAATCTTCTACAGCCAGATTTAAGGCTTGTCACATGTGCTTCTAAGAAGGTCTGTAGGTTATTATTATAATGCCAACGTTTTTAGGGAAAAGACATGCCCTTCCCATATATTAGGGCAAAGCACATTAACCACTTGCCTACAGGGCACTTATACCCCCTTCCTGCCCAGGCCAATTTTCAGCTTTCAGTGCTGTCGCACTTTGAATGGCAATTGCGCGGTTATGCCACATTGTACCAATATGAAATTTTTAGCCTTTTTTTTCAGACAGATAGAGCTTTATTTTGGTGGTATTTAATCACGTCTGGGTTTTTTATTTTTTGCTAAACCAAAAACCACAGAAAATTAAAAAAAAAATAGTTTTCTTAGTTGCTGTTATAAAATGTTGTAAATGAGTGCTTTTTCTCCTTCACTGATGTGCGCTAATGAGGCTGCAGTGATGGGCACTGATAGGCTGTACTGATAGGAACTGATAGGCGGCACTGATGGGCAATGATGAGGAGGCACTGGTAGGTGGCACTGATGGGCATTGAGAGGCATCACTGATGGGCACTGCAAGGCAGCACTCATATATGGCACTGAGAGGCGGCACTGATAGGTAGCACTGATAGGCGGCTCTGACTGGCACTGATAGGCGGCACAGACAAGCACTGATAGGCGGCACTGACTGGCACTGATTGCCAGCACTGATAGGTGGCACTGACTGGCACTGATAGGTGGCACTGACTGGCACTGAAAGGCAGCTCAGATGGGCACTGATATGTGGCATTGATGTGCACTGTTAGGCACTGATATGTGGCACTGATGGGCACTGACAGGTGGCATTGATGGACACTGACAGATGGCACTGATGGGGCTACACTGATCATCAGGGCACACTGATGACCTGTACCCTGATGATCAGTGTACGTGTTCCTTCTGAGTATTGCCGATTGCTGGCTCTCCTCTCCTCATGAGCTGTCAGCGTGACAGCTTGTGAGGAGAGGAATGCTGATAACCGGCATTTCCTCATTTACATTCAATCAGCTGTGATTGGACACAGCTGATCACATGACAGAGCCGACATCTTCGGCTCTTTCCGATCGGTGATCCGCTGTGTCCCAGGGAGTGGGCGGTTAGAGTGGGTGGATGTCATATGACGTCCTCCCAGCACGAGAGAACCGGCTTGGCCCGTCATTACCTTATATGGCGGACGGGAGGCGGTTAAAGAGGTTCTAAAGGCTGAAGGTTTTTTTTTTCCTTCTATGCATGAAAGTTAAAAATTGTCAGTGGGCAGCTCCCCCCTCAGCCCTCCAATACTTACCTGAGCCCGAGTGCATGCAGAGGCTGCAGGAGATCAGTATCAGAGATATAAAAAAGGATGAAAAAAGTTACAAACAGTATTTTATGAAAAAATATAACAACTAAGGAAAAAGGGGTATTCTAGGGTGGCCTCCCAATATCTATATGTACCTTATAGAAAACCAACTACACAACAATGAACTTATGGCTTTGTAGTGGGTTTTCTATAAGGTACATCGAGATATAAGGAGGCCACTCTAGAATACCCCTTTTTCCTTAGTTGTATATTTTTTCCATGTCTATTGTGGGGTGGTGACCCCCCCCGATATCAATGTACCACACACCTTATCTCATTGCTATGGTAACTGTTTATAATAAACAGGGCTTTAGCAAACTAAAAGTCATTGAGTCAGAGTTTACAAGTATCCTGAAGCTAGGTTCACAATGCTGTGACATAGGATCTGACTTGTGAGACCCGAAGTCGGGTGACATGTGAAATTCAATGTTTCCCTATGAGAGCCATCTTAACTGATACTACATAAGTCGGTCCGACTTTAGAAAAGGTTCCTGCACTACTTTGATTCGACTTTGATACGACTTCAATGCCACAGAGTGTAAAAAGTCACATCAAAGTCATATCAAAATCGGACTCCAAAGTTGCGCTGAAAGTTGCGCGACTTTGGCGTCGGGCTAGTGTGAACCAAGCCTAAATCATTTTGTCTTTGAATAAACCGAAATATCAGTGGGTTTAAAAACATTGATACTTTTTGTATAGTTCTGGTGACTATAGCTACCAAATTCTGTCATGCATCAAAGAAAATGGAAACATTTGATCGCCTGCCGTAGGCAATATCACAGTTTTTCCTTTATACTAGTTTTGGAAACACGCAACATTCCTAGAGAAAGTAGTACCATAATCCCTGGATAAGTAATTTCTCAGAATCACATACATAAAGTAAGAGGAGACATACTGCCGTCAAATTACAGGCACACCCAGCAAAACACATACCTAATTTCACACCCTCGGGGGCCCACATCATGCAGGTCAAAACTTGCTTCTGTCATGTTCACTACAATTGTACATGCCACTACAATATTATACAAGACTTAAAGACTGACTCTAGAGAATATTTAAAGTGATAATAACGTTTTTTTCAAGGCCGAGTTGCACCTGAATCGCACAGGAACGCAGTATGCATTTCTGTGCGATTCCAATGCAACTCAATAGGTCTAATTTACTAGAGGGAAATAGATGGTGCACTGTGCAAGTTCTGCTGACTTCCATCATCCAATCATGTGCAAGCAAAAATGCTTTTCTTTTTATTTTCCTTCAATATGATTGGGTATTCTTTGTAAAGCTTCACCTCATTTACTAAGCTCTGGAGTAAATTTCCCTGCAGAATGCAACTTCATTTGCAAAGCATGCAGTCTATTTGCCTTTATTAAATCCACTAGTGCAGCGTGATTTTCAGTTAAATCATTTGAATGTGCTGAAAGTGCACTGGATAGCACCAAAAGTAGTGCATGCATTACTTTTCAAAAACACACTGCACCAGATCGCATTGTACTGCGGTACCATGCGATACAGGGCAGACAAACATACTGCATTTGCAATCTGTGTTTGGGGTACGGTCAGGATTATGTTGACACCTGCAGCAGATCGCACACCCAGTGCGTTTTGAACACGGTGCAGGAAACATGCTTGGAACGTGGATTTCCTGCACCATATTCCAGTGTGAATGAGCCCTTAGGTAAGTTCAAGTTCTAAATAAAAGAAATGCTTGTTATTTCTGCTCTTCCTGTATCCAACACTGCCTTTTGTCCAGTCCTGCACAGTCCCTCCCAGCACTGGCTCTGTTTTCCAGTTCCAGGGTGGCTCCTTTCCATCATAGGGTCGTATGGAGCCATCATTGCCTACTCACCCCCAGCTACATGCTGCCTCCTTCTTGGTCCTTCAAGCTAATTAATGAACAGCTGCTGACACCTACTTTGTCCCTTGCTACACTCCGTGCAAGCTCTCTCCACCAGGAAGTTTGGGGAAGATGCACTGAAGCAGGGGCGGACTGACAACTCATGGGACCCCCGGGGCAATAGTGGATTATGGGGCCCCTGTGTCCTCACCCACACCCAAAAAAGCCAATGAAATGTACCAGGGGCATCTCATGGGGCCCCCTACTGACCCCGGGCCCTCGGGCAGTGCCCGAGTGCTCGAATGGTCAGTCCACCCCTGAACTGAAGGACCCAGAACGATGTCATCAAATGTCAAGTAATATCAAGTAAAGCTGGCCATACAGTAGACAGATTGAAATTCAGCAAGTCCAGCAGGGATGTGTGTGTGGCTGCTCCTACTCAACAGAAGAGAATAGTTCCAGGAATACTGGAAAATGTTTCCATACACTGAAAGTGGTGAATCCCGCTGTCAGCCTACAATGTCTCATTGGTAGGATTTCTCTATCCAGCTCACTTGTGTGGCCGGAGGAATCCATTTTTTTTTCAATCCGTCTATGGCCAGCTTTAGTGTTTCTGCCCACATATCTAGAAATTGATGTACTACAGAATGTTAACTAGACCACTTAGAATGCATTCTTCTTAAATAATTTGATAATACTTGAAAATCATTTAGTGCCCCTTTAGTGCTATCCTGGAAAAACTGCAACTATGCTGATATCAGATGGTGCATTCAATTTACCTGAGATTTATATAAGCCACTGCAATTATCCTACATGCTTAGTAGGATTACAGGCCCTTATCACATGATCCTGTGCTGAGATACAAATGGCAACGAAAACTACAAAGAGTGGTGCTTGGAACCTGGGGAACACACTGGTGTCTGTTTCTACAGGTTCAGAATCAGGGCCATTTGGGGGAAGGGGGGGTGTTGCGTGCCATACACATTTAGGGTTTTCCATCACAACCCCAAAATCTAGCAAAAAAAACAATCAAGTGACATAGTCACAAAAAATCATTAAAACTAAACTCCAGATTGTATCAAATTTCAAAAAAGTGTAGCGCTTAATCATCTCCTCTCCTTTAGGTGCACCCTGAAAACCCACCTCTTCAGAGAAGCCTACCCCACCCCCTGCTAATTGCCGACCTCCTCCACTCTTCCTACCACTCCATCCCCCACAGCTATCTCCTCCTGTGCCATCATCCCCTCCCTCCTAGATTGTAAGCTCGAAAGAGCAGGGCCCTCGATCCCCTCATGTTTTGCATTGTATTGTATTGTATTGTTATTGTTCTGTCCCCCATTGTAATGTACAGCGCTGAGCGAACTATTGGCGCTTTATAAATACTTTATAATAATAATAATATAGTTGATAAATAAGTTCCATCAATAAATATTGGAAATATAAAAGTTCACTGAGTAGCAATACAGTAATTCCTAATGAGGCAGGTATCTCAGTACTTCTATGGTTGGAATAAATAGCAGACAGAAATAGCAGAAGTGCGCACTCACCGGAAGCGCATAAAGACAGCGCATGTAGTAATATATGGTAGGTGGTGGGCTTCCTCCAAGGTCATCAAGCCTAGTGAGATCCTGCCTGGTCCAGAGGTCCCCCTTAGGATGGACGGGCGCTCAACTTTGGTAAAGGGCTCCCTCCTCTGGACCAGGCAGGATCTCACTATTCATCTAGGCTTGAGAGCTGTGATTGGTCACAGCTTGTCACATGGTACAAGCCTGTTGTGAATAGCCTTGTACCATGTGACCTCTGAGATCATTCACAGATTTCACACGTAGTAAGCAATGATGTCAGAAGTGACATCTTGCTTACTACTCTGCATGTGATCACTGATTGGCCCCAATCAGTGATCACATGATCGCGACCTAAGAAGAATATCCCAAATTTTGGGTTGTCACCTGAACAGGAATAGAGGGGAAGTCTTCTAATAAAGACACTAGTTCTGGTGACCCTGGTGACAACCAGGATTTCCCTCATTCTGGAGTGATTTTCTCTCACTTCCTGGTTTAGCTATGGGACAGGAAATTCCCCAATGGCACACAGATGATAAAAAAAAAAGCCTGCAGGGGTTATAACCCACCTTTGCACCATCCAAAATGAAAAAAAAAACAAATATCCCAAGGAGCGCACACAGCTTGAAAATGCGGGTGCCGTTTATGACTGCCACTGTCCTGCCAATTATAAACAGCGGCCGGACAGGAAGTGGTTAATGAATAAAAAAACCCACAATATATACCACAATTTTTTGTAATATATGAAAAATGATGTTACTCCAAGTAAATAGATACTCAACATGTCACGCATTAAAATTGCACACGCTCATGGAATGGCGCTAAACTACAGTACTTAAAAATCTGCATGGGTGACGTCTTAAACATTTTTGCAGGTTACCAGTTTAAAGTTACAGAGGAGATCTAGTTTTAGAATTACTGCTCTCGTTCTAACATTCATGGAGATACCTCACATGTGTGGTTTGAATACCGTTTACATATGTGGGCATGGCCTACATATGCGTTCACCACTGTGCGCGAGCACGGGGTGACTGGGGCACCACACAATAAAAAATAGTTTTTTATTTATTTTATTACATTTTTTACACTGTCCCTTTACATTTTTTCTATCCCTTGTGATAGAAATAAAGTGACAGGTCCTCTTTATGGAGAGATCTGGAGTCAAAAAGACCCCACATCTGTGCTCTACAATGTAAAGCATTAGATTAAAAAAAAAAAAAGCATTGATCTAGTGCTTTAAAAAAATGGCCTTGTTTACATGGCACCAGAACTGGAAGGGACGTAATTATGTCGCTCCGGTCCTCCAAGGGCATAGAGATGAGTGGAGGCCATCTTT